ACAACTTGCCTGCTGACTTAAGCAATAACGGTCTTCTAGAATACATACTGGTGGAAGCTACCACTGCAGATTTTGATAATTGGCATCCTGAGCAACTACCCTAGGTAATCTTTGCTCAGCAGTCACTGTTCCTGTGGAAATGGGAAGCAAGATCAGCACAGACACTCATCATGTTGATACTCTACCATCTTCTATACTTGAGTTTAAAATCAAGGCCTTTAGTGCTTTCAAGTCCAATGAGTGTGGCCTTCACATTATCTTCAGATACTCCTTGTGGGAGATTTTGATCCATCTTCTTGCATCCCACTGGATAATTCCAGAAGCAAAACTCAGGCAAAGAAGCTATAAGGCATATCTTCTCTCTATACTTTTGAGTTAAATGGCCTTTCTCTGTAGTAAGCCCCCAAAACCTTCTTCTTAGACTCCACAAATACAGAAAGTGCTGTTGGAAAATAGGAGGTACCACTCACATGCTAGGTTGCCTGCTATGAGATGTACTTGTCATCTAATATCACATCCTATCCACTCTCTACTCTTTTTTAAAAGCCTGTGAATATTTTCAGTATTACCTCCCCAGTGTCATGATTGTTTGAAACTAGAATTTCCTCAAAGCCATTATAGGAGGTTATTTGTGAATAGGCAGGATATCATTCTGGAGGAATAGGATTCCAGAGATGACAGGTAAGTAAGTGTTCTGTCCTAAAAGGGACCTAATGATGTCCTTGTATAGTGACTGCCTGCTTTGTCAAGCCCTTAGACATTCCTGCATGTCTTCTGGAGTAATGAAGCCTAGGGTAGGGAACTGTAGGTTAGAGTTAACTAGGAAATGCCCAGAAAAGTGGTGGGTTGTAGGCAGGAGGGGATGGGTAGTTTATAGCCTCTGTATCATTGTACCTGATAGCAGCCTGTTAATCTTTTATCAGTAATCATATTATAGCATATAGTAAGAGCTACATTTAGGGCAAAAGAGAGAGATAACCTGCTGGACTTCCTGTTTGAGGTTCCTTTCACTCATGAGATAACAGAATTTCTCATCAAAGCCAGAAGCCGCTTGGGCAGGGAGACCAAGCTTCAGCCAGCTGAGGAGAACCACAGTTACTGCCTATCCTGGGCTCTCCGTGCCCCAGAGTGGGCAGTAATAGGCATGCAAGAATTCCCTGCCCATAGGCCTGGGGCTGAGTGGGAGACCAGTTGACCCTACAAGACCTGATTTGCCCTCCTGTAATTTCAGAAAGGCAAATGGGACTTTCCTGGTGTTAGAGGTCCTCTCCTCTCTTGAGTCTCTCATATCTGTGTTTCTACTCTATTGAGAGCCGAAAGACTTTGCTGCCCCAGCAATTTCTAAACAACTGTCCGAGAGAGGGAAAAATGGTGGAGAGACTGAGCCTCAGGTTTACTCTCTATTAAAGCTCTCTAGAGGTTCTATGAGACAAATTCAAGAGTAGTAGCTTAGCTGTGTGGTATGTCCATGTTTCCCCCATTGCACTGCTTTTCACCCTATTCCTTAATTTTCCATAGTATTGCAGCTGCTGAAAGTAGTTTATTTTGATATCCTTTCCACCAAATTCAAGTGGTAACAGGCCCTCATTTCATATGGATTGACCATTAAGACAAATATATTCAGACACGCAAACATTTTTCTTAGCTACTGATACCTCTATCTTAGGTCATGTTTTCCCTATCTCTCATGGGACAGTCCATATTATGCCTTGTAATACAAGTATGCATGGCTTTGGTCCCCTAGATCATCTGTCAGTTCTTCCAAGGCACAGACTTTACATTGTTTACACTTGTCATCTTCACAGTCCTTAGCACACTGCCTGACATAGTTTAAGTGTTCAGTTAGTGTGAGTGGGTTGGCCGACTGACTAGATGCTGGTAATATTTGGCTGGATAAAGATCTCTCAGAAGGTTGGAGCTGGCCTTTGTGCTAAGAAGTCTAGGTCTCCCCAGTTCCATTAACTATCATACAGCAGCGGGTCACAGGAGCCACACAAGGGAGAAAACATGAGTCACACTATTATCAGAAGAGTGAAAGAGTGCAGAAACATGTCTCCTTGTGCAAGGGTCAGAGCCAGGAGGTGAGGGCCTTAACACAATGGCCTTTCAGGATCTCACAGGTCTATGGTTAATCTAAATTATTTAATTATAGAAGGTAAAACAGGGAGCCAGAGGCTATTCAACTTGGACCCAGACTCAGGAAGATTTTGAGTAAACTTAGAGCAAGGCTTTTCTTGCTTAGCAGACAAAAGGATCAGTAGCTCTTTGTCAATTGTGCCCTGGTTTTTCTAGTTTGAGTATGAAGGTTTCATTCCTTCCATTGAAATTTCCTTTATTAACAAAGTTTGGAGGAACCCCCAGGCGAGCCTCACCCTAAGAAAATGGAAGCTCTATGCTCTATGTCTTTCCCTCGCAAGCCCTTCTACTCCAGTAGAAGACAGGAACAGAGAGTGTTCTTGAGTTTGAAGAGCCACAGGTTCTCGTATTCTGAGATCAGAAATTTATTTATTTTTTCATTCCTGGAAAACTCCTTGCAACCTTGTGTGTTTTTTTTTATTTTAAAAAGGGTAAAACTAAAAATAACAACACAGAACAAAGCAGTTCAGAAGAAAACAATGTAAGTGACACAGATTTCAAAGCAAGACAACAGATCATCACTGGCTACCATAATGTCTCTTGTTTTCTTCTAAATAATTGTCCATATCTTCACACACAATGAATTCATACAAAACAAAATAGTATAAAACTGATCAGAACAGAGTAATGAGGCATTATAGGCCTTCAAAACCAGACTACAGGGAAATCAACAATTGCTGCCATGTCTCTTATTGTCTTCAAAATAGCTGTCCATACCTTCATGTATGTTGAAATTAAATGATACAAAACAGACTAAAACCACTCTGAACAAAGAATAAAAGCATTACTGGATTTCATAGCATGACAGTATGGAATCAGCAATGGATATCATAATGTGTGTTTTCCTTCAAAGTAGCTATTCATTTTCATCACACAAAATACAATCAATTCTCATAAACTGTCTAGGGGAAGTTGTAGGCATGTATAAGCCTCTACATGTATACCTATCCTTTCTGTATTAGAGGGAAAAATAAAACAAACAAATTACTAGAAAACCAAGAAATAAAAAAGGCAAATAACTAACAATAGCAAAGAGCCCAAAACATTGACAATATAGCTTTCAAAAAAGGTGGTAGGAATATAACCAAGATTGTTATTTGACATAGTGATCTTCAAAAGAATTCCTCAGATCACCAGACACAAGCATGCAAAATTGTTTCAATCCTATAAATGTTAACTGTTTTGTTCTACCAACTCATAGAATTTGTACAATAATGTTAGCTATCCTAAGTGTGTTTATACAAATTTAGATATTTTTCTTTTCCCTTCCTCTTTCTTTTTCCTCCTTTTCCCTGAGATACTATTTTTCCCCTTTGAGCAGATTCTTACCCTTTCACTGTATTTATTTAGGATTTGGTATCTTATGTACTATTACCATTTCTTTTACTAGGGGGACAATACGGTAGTTACATATGTATTTGATTTATTTCACTTATGAGCATGGTGAGACCAGAATTTTAGATCTACATTGCCATATAAAGAGTTTCCAAGCTTATTCCCAGACTGTGCCACTGTAACTTGAGGGATTTTATTCACCTCTCAATGCTCCATTTTGTCTCCTATAAAGGACCTACTTCACTGAGGTACTTGGAGGGTGAAGTTGGTGGAGGCTGAAAGTGCTTTGGCTGCCAGGTAGGGGATCATCAGAGCCCATGCAGATTCCTACTCACTCAGCACAGTAGAGTCAGCAAAGCAACCCTGTCTTTAAACCTCCAGTGGCCCTCAGTAATCATTCTGGGGTTCTAAGCACCAGACTAGAGACATTTCTTAAGTTTCTCTCTGTAGAGCCCCCACCACACACATATATACACTGCATTCCTTCTTGATCCATTCCCTCTAAATGGGCTTGGGCACTGGGATTCTAGACTCTGCACCAAATAAGGCTCACATCAGAAGTGTAAGAATAGCATCTATTAGGGGCTGGGGATTTAGCTCAGCAGAATAAGCACCTGCCTGGCAAGAGCGAGGTTGTGAGTTCAATCCCAGTACAAAAAAAATGAGTAGTGTCTGTTAAAATAGTCTTACAGGCTGAGGCCTTCTAAATTCAGAATCTGTTTAAGCTGACTCTTGTAAGACCCTGTTACACTCAGTATTTTTCTATTTAATAACCTTATGAAATAGGCTTTGTTAACTCCCAAGGAAGTCAAATTATTGGTCTTCCACACTCCCATACTTCCAGAATCAGGGAAATTATAACTAAGTTACAGTGTCTTATTCAAATGCAAATCTGGCATCTCCCTAAAGAGACACCTTACTGGTCCCAGGCTCGCCAGTTGGCTAGCATGTTAAGAGAGCACCATTCTGGTGACATGGTCAATGAATTCTTGTTTTCCCTGATCACTGCCATGGGAGACCATGAGAGCCTGCATGCCTGTTTTGTTACCTTGTTGGCTACAATTTATCTTTTTCAGGCTGCTTGAGAATATTTGGCAGATTCTTCCTATTGGCTATGACTATTACTGGCTCAGCAGGGTTCTATTCTAGGAGTTAGGAGACTATAATTAACACCAGCTGTGTGAATCTGGGAAAAATCACTTTACTTGTGTTGGCTTTAGTTTTCCCATTTGCTAAATAGAGATGGTCAGATTTATCTCACCTTCCTCATAAAGGTGGTTCAATAAATGAAAAGAACATGAATGTAATCATTTAGCAAATAACTTCAATGAATTAAGTCTGAAAAGGCAGGAGACATTGGTAAGAAGAGGTTAATCTCCTTGGTGAGGGATGTTGTTATGTTTCCGTGAAATCTGGAATTTGCTTTTCATCCTGTGAGGAGAAAGTCGGGCTTCCATCCTCCCTCCCCTTAGCCCAATTTCTTCCAGTCACACGTGGCCTGTTTGGGCCCCTCTTAATCAATAAAAGAGTTACTCAATCAACAAGTGTTTATTGATCACCTATTGTGTGTTCAGCACTGTTACAGATAGTCTGGGATATACAGAGAGGTGTAACTTGGCCCCTGCCCTCCAATATTTACAATGTACTTTTGAGGTCAGACATACGCACACACACACAGAATTATCAATAAAAATTGTGAACAATAAGCATAAAGAAGCAATTTTTACATTGAGGCTTGGAGGAGGAAGGGGTAAGAGGGACAGAGTGGTCAGAGAAGGCTCAGTGAAGGAGGTGATGCTGAGCAAGTTCTCCAAGCTTCGGGAGGACATGGCTAATGGGAAAGGGTTTCTAGCTGGGAGAATAAGGCATTTTAGAGACCATGAATGCCCCCCCTTTTGCTGGCACTGAGGTTTGAGGAGAAGTACAGGATTTCTTCAGAAGCCAGTCATATTAGTCTGACAAATAAATGACATAAATGACAAATATTTATGACCTGTACTCATACTCCAGGGGAAATGGAGCATTTTCAGATCTTGGAGGTGGGACTGTCTGCCTGGGAAAAATTGTGTACTTTCTTCAGTTGCAATTCCAGGTAGCAGCTCAGTTACCACTGCTCAGATCATGGACACAGGGCCATGGGTATGGATGAACCACATTGCAGTTCTCCTCTGGAGTGTCTTCTAATGGATCATAAGGGAAATACGAAAGATGACAAGGGACCCACAGGGTGTTGCTTTTTAGGCTGATTTTCCATTAGGCCTGAAGATTCTTTGGTGGGCTGTCTGTCTTTGGCACAGTAGAAACACCCCTAAAGCCAGCACAATGTCTGCTCAGCTTCTTAGATATAAAAGTTCTCATTCTCCTAACTAAGCTCAAGCAGTAATATCTTCTTCAGCCCCCCATAGCTCCTGTGTTGTCATCCTAAACCAAGGACCAGTTCTAGAAAGCCTGGTTTATTGTTCCTAAGGAAACCATTCTTTAAGGGCCCATAGCCTGTGGTTAGACAGGAGGCCATGTCAGGTACCCCGGACGGAGGCAGAGGCTTCAGTGAAAGTTGAAACCGCAGTGCTGAGGCAGTTCCTCAGTGAAGTCAGAGTCTGCCGCTGTCTTGAACTTTCCATATCTTCTTTCTTTGTGCCTTCCTCTAGCTGTGGGCTTGATTCCTGGCCCACAAGCATGAGAAAATCCTGAGAAGTGCCTTGGGAAATGGTTTTGGTATTTTGTACTCCCAGGCTTCCTTCTTTTCCTCCCATACTGCACCCAGGTTTTGTTCTTTGAATACTGTGAGATAGCTTTCTTTCAGTTCATATGGCAATCAGTCTAGGCAATCTGCAGTCATAACAAGAGTGGGACAGAGGGTCTGGGGCTTATTACTCACCAATCAGTCTCTTTAGAGGGAAGTTTGAGAAGGAGGTTAGAGACATGCCCATATAAACCACCACTCCTCTTCACTATCCCCCAACAATGAGCTATGTATGAGCCAACCTCAGCTAGAGGGACAGTCTTTGTTTCAAAGTCAGTCAGTAGGATGTGATTAGTGGGTTTTGGAATGGATTCCCAGGCAAACCAAGGGACAGGAGGGAGCCTCTTGGGCCTGGCCTAAGGTAGGGGGTGAGTTGGAATTTAAGGTTGAAAACTCAGGGCATGGAGGCATGGAGGTATGGAGGCAAGGTGAGAGAAATAGAAAAGCTGGTTTGCAAGCGTCCTTGAAAATTCAACCTGTGTTCTGTCATACCAGCTCCTGCTTCTGCCTTCACTTGATCCAGTGGCCAAAGCCAGTCTATCCTCAGCAGTACTTTCTGATATAATCCAGTGGTAATGTCCATCACCCCATGGCCTTAGGGGTGCTGTACACTGGTTCTCACAGATCCAGACACCCCCACCCCCCAGCTCTTGCCCCTGATTCTTCACACATACCCTGTCAGGCTGTAGGAGTTGAATTCACTCTTGGCTTTGGATGATTGACCAGGCCTTGGAGAACTCCTAGTGGCAAGAGGCTGGGCCTGGTAGCCATCATAGTAGTTGGCACGATTTCCTTGGGATGAGCAGGAAAAGCAGAGAATAATTCCAGCTATCAGGGAGAACAGAGAGGATATAATACCCAAGTAAATAGCTTCTCCAATCTCGTATTTCATGCTGTCAGGCACCAGTGGTGAATAAAAGTCCCGCAAAATCCCATGAAGATTCCAGGCAACAGGGATGAAGCTTAGGAGGCCTCCAACAATGAGTAAGACTCCACCCACTACTGCCACTCTGTCTTTAGCTCGGGTTTCCTGGTAGAAGACTGTGCATCTCATGCCCACCACAGAAATAATGCAGGCCAGTGAGGAGACTGCACAGGAAGTCACCATTAGGGCTTGGGCAGCCTGGGTGTCAGCAGGCAGGCCTAGAAGAGTGCTGTAGATGTCACACTGAGTGATGCCTGTGCTATGTGTAGCACATTCCATCCAGAGTCCCTTGGAGAAGCCGACTGCTGTCACAATGCTGGCACCAACATAAGAACTTGTTCGCCAGTTGGGGAGCAGCATGGCAATCACTGTGCCCAACAGTCCCAGAAGGCCTAGGATGTAGCCCACAAGTTGAACGCTAAGAGAGACCATGGCAGACCTCTAAGCAGTGTGTCTTCAGGGCCTGTTCTTCTTCTTACGGCTGTTGTTCTTGGTCCTTGGATCCAGTCTCTAATCCCACATTTCAGAGTGTCTGCCAGGCTGATTTCTCTCCTCCTTACAAGTCTCTGTGGGTGGCCACAAGCAGGCTCAAGAAGGCATCCAGAAAACCTAAAAAAAATCCATAAACCAGATTAAATATTGACCAGAAGCTTATGAGAAACCAGAAAATGCTGGATGCCTTTTGACCTTTGTTATCTTTAGAAATAACACATGAGAAAGGAAAAAAAAAAAAAACTTTGAAAGTGGAGCCAGAATATCATCACCTTCCGCGTAGGTACATGCCTTAAGTTGGCAGTCAGACAAAGGTAAAGGCCAGACAGGTGGCTGCCTTCCGAGAAGGTAGTGATGGAAGTGGCGGGCAGTTGTGCTTGTGTCAACTCCACTGTTAGTCTCCAATGTCTGCTGTTTAATGCACTGCTAAGCAACAGTGCCATAGGGCCCCTCAATTTCAGACTGAGGCCAAACTCCAGGGCACTGAATCAGGAGGAAGGTCCTAGACTATAGACTTGGACTCTAGCATGTTAGGGGCCACTTTAATCTTGAAAGGCTCAAAGAGTAGTGGCTTGGCTCTGAATCATCTTCCCATGTCAAAAATCTACTCCAAAGCACATTGCGGCAGGCAACAAATTTTTCTGTCCATACTCTAAGAGACCAGGCACTCCCAGCCTGCCCAAATCCCTTCCTACAGGCCCAGATATTTTCTATGTGATCTCGTAATACATGTCTCCATCATCAAACTCTCAGATGATGTGGGAGACTTGAGAGAAAGGTTTTTCCAAGTCCTAGGAGGATCCTTGAATTTCCCTGAGTTTTCTGTTAACAGTATAGTGGACAGGAAAAAGGAAGCAGCTAAATTGGATTGTTCCTCAGAAGTCCATTCTTGGACTGAGAATACAGTTCAGTGACACAGTGTCTGCCTGGCCAGTGCAAGGTCCTGAGTTCGATTTCTAGTACAAAAAAAGAAAGAAATCCATTCTTTCCTCAGTCAACCTTGTGTCATTGAGCAACCACACCCACCCCTATAAATCTATTACACATCTACTGACACACCCAAATCTGAATGTTTCTTATAGAACCTTCTTGCTCCAAGTCTGGCAAAGAGTTTTCTAGTCAAATTTCCACATGGAAGTCAAGTGTGGTGGTGCATGCTTACATTTGGGAGTCACAGGTAGGATTGTTGCAAGTTTGAGGCCACCCTGGTCTACATTGTGAGTTCAAGATCAGCCTTAACCATATACTGAAAAAAAAAGTCCAATGAAAACCTCATAGGCACCTTGAATTTGACATGTCTACAAGATAACACATTGTGTTCCCCATTGCATTTTTCCTAAAACAATTTTTCCCTGGGTTCCCTTGTGGTCACTGAATGGTATCTCTACCTATTCCCTTACACCAGACCAGAATGGCAGAATTGATTCTTAACGTCTTTCTTGTGCTACTATTTGTTACTGTTCCACTAGATACATCTCTTTAATATACCCCAAATCCATGACTCCACGTTTTTTCATCTCCATTGCTACTTTTAAGTATAGGGCTTCATCATTCTCTCTCACCTGAAAGCAACAGCTTCTTAACTGGCCTTCTAATCTTGTCTCTTCTGATTCATTCTCCACTCTGTTGCCAAGGAGATCTTTTAACACATCTGATTAAATCATTACTCTAAGATACTGCAATAGTTCCCCACTTGTTAAAGAGCAAGGTCCAAACTTGTTTGCATTCCATTACCTTCCAAGCTTCACCTGTTATTCCCCTCTTCATGCTCTCTACTGGCCTGGCGCAAGTACCCCACTTCTAAGACCTTACAGTATCTGATATTTATTTACTTTTACCATCATCATCATTGTCAGTGTTGTCACTGTTGTCATCCTCGTCATCTTCATCACAATAGTAACACCTATAGAGTGTCTCTTTTTGATCATTATAAGAATTTTACATGTGTTAACTGATTTATTATCTCAAATTTTGTGGTACCCACTAATGATCTCTACTGTATAGTAGATGAAGAAACTGAGGTAAATATATTACTTTTTGCATTATATTACAAATCCCTGTATATACTCATTTTCTGCTAGTCTATGAGCTACTTGAAGACAGAGACTATATTGTATTTATCTCTATTTTATGTTATGTAGAGAGTGCTTTACTCAAAGCAAGTGTTCAAAAGTATCTTCTTTTTCCAGCCCCTTTTTTATTTTCAGGCAGGGTCTCACTAAATCACTAAGTTGCCCAGGTCAGCCTCCAACTTAGAATCTCCCTGCCTCAGCCTCTCAAGTACAAAAATATCTTAATGAATAAATAAGAGTGGTAAAGAGGTTTTAGGGGCTTCACATAACTGTAAAAGAGGATTTCTAAGTGACTCTGTGACATTTCAATGCAAGAACCACCAAGGTGCTACCTAATGTTGACAAAGAAATTTGAGACAAGGGAATCAGAGGAAGAAGGAATTAAATAGAGAAGAGTGAGAGGGAAAAACAGACAAACAGAAGCATCTTTACATCTGTATTAGGGCATATGCATATAAAGTAGCTTGTTGAATGGCTTGTCTTCTCAATTAAATGTTAACAGTTTGATGAAAATATATGAAACTTCGTTGTGCCTTTGGAGTATTGGACACATGGTTGATAATACTATTCTTCAGAGTTAAATATGATGATACCAGTGTTTACACAAAGTGATGCAAAACAGAAAACAAAAACACTTGATTTCTATCATTGTAGGTATGATAATAAGTCCTTTCCCAGCACTGATTTTCTTATTACTTAGCTGGGCATTATTAGAATCATGACTTCCTCTTGGCAAGATCTTCAGTGCTACCAGGCAATCCTTCTATTTCTCCCCAGTATGCATCCTCTTGGTGACCACTTTAAGTATTTGGCAGTCTTTCTTAAATTGATTCTCTTTTGCACCCAAGACTTTTAAAAAACCATTTACAATTGTTGTCTCTACTTCTTTACCATTCCACTTACTTCTCAGCCCTCTACAATCTGGTATTTGCTGATACCCTTCCACTAAATGTTTTCACCAAGATTATCAAATATTTACTATTCCAATACTCAACAATCCCATCTTTGTCATCTTACCTTGTCCCTCTCCTTCTGACAACTTCTCCCTTTTATTCTGTTGCACCACTACTAGTTTTCCCCAGCTCTCAAAATGATTCCTTTAGATCTCGTAAGTTCCTCTTCTTCTGCCCACTATTTAAATCTGACTATTCCCCCAAGATTTTCCTCTAGACTGATCTGCTTATTCTTTAATCTCCATGGGTGATCTCATGCACTCTATGTCTGTAACAGTGAATCCTAAATCCAAACCCGCTGCTGCAGATCTCTCTCTTGAACTCAAAGTTTGGGTAGTCAACTGCATTTGGAATGGCCCCAAATGAATGTGTTAATGGCACCTCAAACTCAACAGCTGTAAAGCTGAAACCAGCTGCCCTCCTGTCTTGTTATCCTGAAATATTGTTCATACAGTGTTCTCCATCTTATTTCCTTATTTCTGTGGGTAATTAACCATTCAATAACCCAAAGCAGTCATGCTTGATTCCTCCCCTTTTCTTATCATATAATGATTATGAAATTCTGTCAGGTCTACCTATTAAATAAATCACAAATCCATCTACTTCTCTGTATCTCCACTTCCGAAACCTTAGTTCCAACAACACAACCATCATCTCTTGTTCACTTAGACATCACAAATTGGTCTTTGTAGTTGCACCTGCATTCTATTCCATAATCAACTATCCTTCCAGTAATCAAGGACCCTTCAAATGTGGAAATCAAATCACAACTATCACCTCATCTTTTGCCAGGTTTCAAACATTTCAGGAGACTTTAATTCCTTTCAGGATGAAGTTTAATCTCCCTATCTGAGAAAACAATAAAAGCTGTCAGTTGTCTGAACCCCTGATTTTCTTTCCAGTTTCATCTTGCACTATTAACTTCCAATCTTCTTCATTTTGCTTGTAACACACACACACACACACACACACACACACACACACACACACACAAAGTCCAGCCATACTGGACTTGTATATCTCTGAATTTGCCCATTATTTCTCTTCAAGCACTGATGAATGCTGTCCTACCACCCACCATTTGTTTGGGTAGTTGCTAGTCATCCTTCAGGAGTAATCATCTCTTTGAAACTATCCTTGGGACTGGAAGTAATGATGCACACCTATAATCTCAGCACTCTGAAAGGCCAAGGCAGGAGTACTGCAAGTTTGAACTCAGTCTGGGCAATTTAATGACTTAGTGAGATGTTGTCTAAAAAATAAAAAAGTAATTGATCTGGGGATATAACTCATTTGTGAATATGCTTCACCAGAGAGAGAGAGAGAGAGAGAGAGAGAGAGAGAGAGAGACAGAGAGAGAGAGAGACAGAGAGAGAGACAGAGAGACAGAGACAGAGAGACAGAGAGAGACAGAGACAGAGAGACAGAGACAGAGAGAGAGAGAGCTTTCCTTAGTCCCTACTCCACTCCCCCTTGCCCATTGTTTAAATGTTTTTCCACTGTATCTTCTCTCTATGTCTGTGCTTCCAGTGAAAGTTGCTGAGCTACCTTGAGTTTTTTATGGGAAAGCCTTCCTCCTTCCCAGAGCAGCAGCTTTTGCTTCCACCTTCCTGGGATGGCAGCAGACAACCTTGAGTTTTGAATGGAAATCAACAATATCCCTAAGCAGAGAGACTCTCCTCAGAGCCAGTTAAGAGACTATTTGGGGACACAGAGAGGGCAGGATCAATACAATGTCATTAATGAGGCTTGGTAACTCTAGAGTCTAGTTTGGTATAGCTGGGTAAAAGGAAGAACAGGTTGTTAGAACTTACTCAAATGGAAAACATTGCTCCCTGGAGACTAAATTCAGCCAGGGTCAGGCAAACAAGGTAGACAAAACAGCAAGTATGTAGTTCTGTAGTGAGCCAGGCTAGATTCTGCTTTTGTTACATGAGCAGTAGAGGCAAAGTTAGGGTTTTGATAATGGGTCTTGACCTGAATGTCCAAAGATCTAGTTTCTTATTTTGGTTTTCTACCTGAGACCTGTTGCAGAAGTCCTTTAACTACTCTAAGTCTTCATTTGCTTGTCTCTAAGATTTTACTTCTCAAATAAAGTAATGAGGACTGGAAACTATTTTATCAAATATAGAAGACTGAAAAATAGCTAATGGAAGCAGGTAGGTTTAAAAGAAAACTACCGTTGAAGGATTCTCCTAGAAGCCAAGCATTGCCTGTTCTGGGTGAACAGAACTCTAGGTCTTGCCAGTTAAATTTGTTTCCTGGGCATTATGCCAACATACTCCACAGCTAGGGGGCTGGGCAAGAAAGTTTCAGTAGGGTCCTTACCTAATCTTCATTAGAGGAGGGACTGAACCTGTTGGAGAGGATTAGAAGGGTCAATAGTGATAGCAGCTCCTAACTTAACCCTTTCTTACTGGGCACTTGCCTTGATGTTTACTCCATTTTTTACTCCAAAAAGCTTGTACATGGTGTTCCTCCGTTTACAAAACTTTCAAAAGACTGAGTAGGATGGGAAAATTAAGGTTCTCGGGCTCAAGGCAGGACTTGCTATGATCTTCTGGACCTGATGGAATCCAGCACAGCCCTTTTCTGTCACTTCATTTCTCTAACCCTTGCCCTCATAGCTGCTCAGAGGAATCTAAGACACTTGCTTCTCCCTTTGCACTTCACCCCCAGCTCTAATGGCTCCAGCAAGTGCTTGGAAAGTTTGTCCTCAGAACATTTCACCTTTCCTTCTGCACCAGCTAATTGATCAGCTGAACTGCAACTGCATTGAGAAATTTTTTAATTGCTTCTTTTAAAAAGGTTTGTTTTTATCTGTCATTTAAGTAAAGCATGTTCATTTTTTTCCTGTGGTACTGGATCAGTTTAGAAGGATGAAAAACACGGAGAGGCAGAATTTAGAAAGTAAAAAGCACCTACAATCTCTGAAGCTAGAAGTGCTGTGAATATTTTGGCTCCAACTCCATTTTCAAGGAGGACACAAGAGAATAATGCCTCAATGCACAGGACAAAGGCAAGTGTACCAGTCCTGGAGAGTTATTTAAGGGCTTAAAGGGAGGAATGATTGCACTTAGGGTCCCCTTTCTGTTGCTTCTCAGAGTCTTCATGCTGAAGAGGTCTTTAAAGCATCCAGTCCTCCTCAGACCTCACAGTTAGGTAAATGAGTAAAACATAGGTCTTTTCTTCCTGTATTTACCCCCAGCCTTTTGATCTCAAAAGTTCCAGCCAGAAATTATCTAATTTAAATAGTGGTTCTTCTCACCCTGAACTTTCAAGGTAAAGAATATTTATGACACCTTTGAGGAAACAAATACCGACAACCTAAGTGCCATAGAAATTTTCTGTCCCATATCCTTCATTCAGAAACACAAGGTGGCTCAATCCGATTCCATGGGCTGAATTTGAAAGGCAGCAGCTAAATCAAGATTGAGATACTTACAGAGCTGTTCTTTTGCAGAGCCTTGGAGTAGGAGATGCCCCTGGAGAGGGAGGAAGGGGTTCTGAGAAGGGGGAGTGAGGTCCAAGGTGATAAAGGATTTCTAATGGTTAACCACAGCTTTGCAAAATCCATCTGCAAATCCAAGCCTTATTACAGATGAGAATTAAACCCCTGGAGGCTGGAAACGATTGAGGTACTTAAAAAAAATATTTGGTGGGTTTTGTGTTTTTCCTGTCAAAAACTCCAGCTGGGCTTTTGTGTATTGACCTCTGAACACCCAGGAGAAACTGGGGGGGGGGAGTGGATTTGGCTCAAGTTGGAATTCAGAACATTCCAGCTTTGGGAGGGAGGTGAGAGAAGGGGATTCTATTAGGAGTCCTTGGCTAGCAGCCCAAAGGCCCAACAGGAATAAAAGCCTCATAAACAGCTTCAGTGAGTTAGTGCCCAAGCAACCCTGAACTACCTACAACTCCACAGATTCTTCGCCACAACTGCCTCTTCAGGTTGACTCCAATGCCCAAGGGCAAACATGGGCACTGTGCATTTAGATTCTGGATTCACAGAGCAGCTCCTTCAATGCGGAGCTGAGGTGGCAGTATCACACATAATAGTAGTACACTCTGTGTCACTGAAGTGTCTCATAATTTCTGTGTAATTCAGTGAAGGGATTCCTCTCCAAGTGGAAAGAAAAGTTTTCCTATGTTTTGAATAAAAAGATACTAGGTGCTATCAAAAAGAATTTGGAAAATAAAATGTAAAGAAGAAAATAGAGCTTCTTACAATGCCACAAGCCAGAGATAAATGCTGCCAACAATTTGAGGTATTATAGAAGACATTAATAGAAGCATTTTTTTTACAAAGTTGTAACAAGATCATACTATGCCTACGATTCTATAATTTATATCATTTCTAAAAATGTGTCATGGACCTGTTCTTATGTTAATAAAAAACAGTTACAGCATTCTCTAATGGCTACACTGCATTTTATAATATAAAATATTATTTCTTCCACCATTTACAGACATTTTATTACCTTCATATTTTCATTATTAAAAGCTTGCACTTTTGTACATAGTCCTGATGAATTCTTATGCACAGAATTGTGCATGATTTAAAAACTAATATGACATATTACAAAAGTAGAGCAACTATTACTAATTCCAGGTGAGAAAATGTAGGCTCAATGAGATGAAAGAATAAATTACCCAACATCTCAAGTTGAGTAATAAAAGGTACACATTCAATCTAATTATCTAGTTCAGTAAATTTTCCAGTGCTTGACAATGACTCCTTCCCAAGAAATCCCATGTGAAAATAACAAAGCTAGTGGGTCACTATTTGTTGAACACTTTTAGTATCAGGCACTGTGCTAAGGGTTTTCATATGCATTGTTGATACCCATATCAAAAATGTAACTCCCAATCTGTTTGACGTCAAATAAGCTGAGTTCATGATTTCACAACATCAAGTAATGAAGTCATATGAACCAAAGGAAGAAAGAAGGAGAGTGTTATTGGAAATTAGAACAGATGAATAGCTCCTGGACTTCCAGGAGGGATACCAAATGGAGTGGCCACCAAGGCCGTTTATCAGGATTAATTTACATAGAAACGTCACAGTGTAGATAAAATGTGTGTCAATCTACAATTAGCCTATAGAATTACAAATACTACTGCTTAGCTAATATTGATCCAATAGGGAAATGAGTCATATAACAAGTGTACACATGGAAAGAACAAAAGGATTTTGGGGAAGAGATGGATCCAGTTACTTTGGTCACCCAGCCGGGAAACTGATGCCTACCTGGATTTACTGGATCAGGTGGTTCTCAGTACAGTATAATCTCAAGTTATTGTTTAGCTTTTAGGGAAGCATGTAGACCTGGCCATTGAATTCTTATCTTGAAGCCTGGCCTTTTTCAGATGTGCCTCCAGTAACAAATCTGTTGTCTTTATTTTTGTGCTGACTTTCTTGAGAGTCCAGTCCCTCTCTGACTGTATATTAGTTTTCATCTAATTTAGCTGCCTATAATATTCTCCCCTCTGAAGAGCTACCCCTAACCATGGTTAAGGGAGAATAGGTTAAGTTTTAATCTAGTTGCTTTGAACTGAAAGTATCATGTAGGGACATGACAGTCAAGGGCCTTTTCCACGGGACTAATTTAAGGGGGCCTTATGAACTCCTTTTAGAAGGTTGATATACTGGGTCCTGGTCAAAATGATCTAGCATATTTGTTTTTGGTTCCATCTGCAAGATCACTTAGAGTTTGCCAGTGAAGGTAGATAAATTTTACTAAGAGATTAGACCATGCATGATCAAAGGATGAGCACCAGAATGGAAAGACAGGGTGAGGAAATGAGCCACACCTAGGCATGCTTTTAAGGGATTGGAATAAGGATAATAAATAACTGGCTTCTAGACCTGTCTGCTAACGGAGGTTATCTCTGATATTTATAAGTCTGATATTTCTTTGGTACAAATATCTCCAGTTTTAGCTATAAAAAGATGTTTTGAAGGAAAATTTTAGCTAAGGAATTTAAAGATTCTTTCTGAGCTTTTATAGCCTCTACTGTAGCTTTTTAACCTCAATAAATCATATTAGTGGTCAGCTACAAATGCTGCTGGAGACTGCCAGCATGATTCAGTGATTGGAGCCCCCTCTTACATCTAGCCTTCATCACTATGGTGTTATTTTTTTCTGTATCTCTTAGTTGTACGTTTCTCCTGGGTGTTCAAGACCAGGTTAAAGTAACTAACCTTTCACTAGGTATTAAGGTCAGTTGAGCCTCCTGAGGCATTACTTTTTTTTTTTTATACCAGGGATTGAACTGGCCACCTTGCACTTGCCAGACAGGCACTTATGCTGCTGACCTTAATCCTTGGACCTCAGGCATTATTTTTGGAACTATATACTGAGCATCTCAGAACAGTGTCAGTGTCAGCCACCAAGATAAGTCACAGTCTTGTTTGACCATGTGGCTTCCTGTGGAAGCATGGGAGACACTTCTTTGGTGACCCTTTTTTTTACCATCTTGTACATTTGTTGATTCCTGGGGTTCAATAATCTCCCTGGGTGACTTTTCAAAGTTGTAGGATGTTGTAGAGAAGGTCCCCTAATGTCCTGGGTCCTTGCTGACCTTGGAGGGCCAGGGCCAAAATATTGGCTATCCTCTTATCTCAGTTATATTTCTAATTCTGGTCTCCAAACCTTAGATGTTGAACATCCAGAAGGTTAGTTACACTAATATTACAGTGGGAGTGGTAGGTTTTAATTTTATTATCTTATCTAAATGTCAAGAACCTTGAAATAGTATAATCAGGGAACTGTTAATTCTTTAACAATCATGATTATCTTGGAAGTTGAATCCTTGCCAATATTAACAAATAACACATAAAGTTTTACAGAGAAAAATTGAGGTTAACTGCAACATAACATTTTAGCATAATCTGCTGACATTATTAAATTAGAACCATTAGATTTTAGTATTATCTCTGAAACATTTAAATTATCATTTTAATATAGAATAATTTTGCTTAGTTATCTTTATATAACTGCAAGATATTAAATAACATAAACTTCTACCTAAATTTTCTATCTTTCAATAGAATGCCATTTCAGAAGAATATACTTATCTGTAGATATATTTTATAGTTTATTAATGTCTAACCTTTAATTTCTAGAGTGGCATTGACTGGACTGCAGTGTTTAAGAATCTGTAAGTGTATAACAAATACATAAGGTATATAACAATCACATAAGCATAAATCTTGGAAAAGTATTTATATCATCTGGTTGACTCATGTTGGATTGATATGCATATTTCATCAGAATATAAGTAAGGGAAAGTCAGATGCTTGAGTCTAAAAAAGTTTATTAACATAAACAATTTTAGCTGGAAATCACCAGTGTAACAATATATTTTTTGTTTTGTATAGTTGAAGGGCTATACTCTTGGGAAACACAAATAGATCATATAATATCAATGAAGTTAGCAATAACTGGTATCACAACTACATAATAATCTTTACAAAATCTTTACCTATGTTTAGTTTTTAGGTTTTTTGTCTTTTTGAGACAGGCTTTCACTATGCAGGCTGGCCTTGAACTCACTTTGTACCCCAGGTTGGCCTCAAACTTGCAGCAATCCTCCTGCCTCAGTCTCCCAAGTGCTGGTATTACATGTATGTGCCACTATGCCTGGCTAGTTTCTACTGTTAAAACATATCTCCATAGACAAAAGCTACCATCAACTCCAAAAATCAAAGAATCTTAATGACTGCTTTATAACTTTGTGAGAGAGAAAAAACATCAAAGGACAGATTGAAGATGCTTCTTTAAGCTATATAGTTTTGGCTCATAAAGACATTGTTTTTGAAAGTAGTTCTCTCTGCTGTCACCCAGAGATCAGTTCCTTCCATGTCGCAGAATGAGGAGCTGTCTTGCCAGTCACATGAGAAACCCCTGCCCAGGCACTGAGTCAGGCAAAACTCTCATGTGTATCTTCCTGGATGAGCATGAATTCTGATTTCCTTCTAATCCAGGGATAGGGGTTATGTAATCTATAAAGGAATGCTTATCCTTGGTGTTCTTAACTACAAATGAAGATTTATTTTCTAAAGGTTCAGGAGCTTCCAATTAAAAGGGAGAAATGATCTTCAGGATTGTAGAAAGAAGCACATTACCATTTCCTGACACACTAATAAAAACTTCCCCTGACAGAAGTGAACTTAAATCTTGAATCCTCAGAAACACCCACACTAGCTGTCAGCCAAAAGCCATTCTAAAATGTCTGTGTAATAGAGCTATCTTGTAGTAACCAAGTAAATCAAGTAAAAAATGCAAGGCCTTGTTTGCAAAAATAAAAGTGCTTCATCACAGAAACCCACATCACGATATTCCATGATCTTACTTTTAACATAGTACAAGTAACCAACAAAACTCATAAACGACCAGCAAACAATGCATAACAATGTTTGATTACCAAAGCAAATCACAATCCAGGATCCAGTCAAAATATTCAGGGATGCCAAGAAACAAAAGCAAATGCTTACCTCCTTCTAATTATCTCCAGATTGACACAGAGGAAATATAACTCCCAACCTGTTCGATGTCAAATGTGCTGAGTTTGTGGTCCCACAACACCAAGGAATGAAATTGTGAACCTAAGGAAGAAGTAAGGAGAGTTTTATTGGAAATTAAAACAAAAGAATAGCTCCTGGATTTCCAAGAGGGGTCCCAAACAGGGCCACCTCCCAGGGCCTTTGTCTGGCCTAATTTATACAGCAAAATCATAGTGTGGGTACAATCTGAGTCAATCCATAATCACCCTACAGGATCATAAGTACAACTGCTTAGCTAATGTTGATCCAGTAAGGAAATGAGTCATGTAGCAAGGGTACACATGGAACGAACAAAAGGATTTTGGGGAAGGAATGGATCCAATTCCTCTGGTCACCCACCCAGGAAACTAATGCCTATCTGGACTTACTGGAGCAGGTGGTTCTAAGTACAATATAATCTCAAATTATTGTTTATGCTTTAGGGAAGCATGTAGACATAGCCATTGCATCTTTATCTTGAGATTCCTTCTTCAGATACTCAACAACAAATCTGTTGTCTTTATTTTTGTGCCGACTTTCTTGAAAACTCAGTCCCTCTTTGACTGTACATTTATTTATCTAATTTGGCTGCTTATTTATTGTCTCCTTTAGTCTGCAGAGCAGAGTCAGGCCTGAGTTATAAACCTGGCTAACTCTGGAGTTTGGTTCTGAATCTATGTGCTTGATTCCCTTTTTTAAATGATATAAAAACAAACAGATTTGTTGACCGGAGTGAATTCAGTGAAGCAAATAGGAAATCCTCCTCCTTCATAAAGTGACCTTTTAGGGACTAACAGGACATTGAATCTTAGCAGTACTCCTGAGCAGAAGTGTCTTCAGATTCTTCCTCTTTGCTAGGCTGGGCCAGGCTAAAAAAGCAGTGGGTCTAAATTCAGGCCTGAGCTGGATATGGTGGTACACTCCTGTAATCCCAGCACTTGGGAGGCTGAGGCAGGAGAATTGTTTGCGAGTTCGAGACCAGCCTGGGCTACATAGTGAGTCCAAGGCCAGCCCTAACTGCATAGCAAGACCCTGTCTCAAAAAAGACAAAGAAAAACAAAAAGAGTGCCATAATAAAATATTGTCATGAAAAAAGTAAATAAATAAATTCAGGCCTGAGGGTCTTTGGCTATGGAAACAATGCTGACAGCTTGGGAGGGATCCTGGACTAATCCTCTATCTGGCTTTGAGGCCTTGGCAAGTCTTTTCATCTTCTTTCCACAGGCTTCACCTGACTGACTTTGCAACACTGTGCTAATGAATTGGAAAGTATTTTGACAAGTAGAAAATGCTGGTAGAATGAAAGATATTAGAATTTGTAATAGAGGGACACCTTATCATCTCACAGTAATTCTGTGTAATTGAGGATAGGAAAAGGCAGAATCTTAGGGGAGGTACCAGGGCAGATGAAAGCACTGTGTTGGCAGGATGTGGTTACCATACTGGCAAGCACCCAAGGACTAAGTTCTAACAAATGTTTCAAACAGTTCAGCAAGGTCAGATCCTGGTGGAATCATGCCAAAATGTATGATTCCTCAGCATTGAGCTGGAGAGACTCCTTAGCAGTGTCTGGTAAGACCAGCCTTAGATGCTGAGATACAACGACCCTAGATAAGTGGAAGATGAAGGTGGATCCAAAGGAAGAGAGAAGTGCAGCCTGAGAAAAATAGTGTCTAGCAAGGGGAGGACTAACGAGAAAACAAAAGAAAGAAAGCAAGGGCCTGGGAAGTGCTGAGTTAGGGAAGAGTGTAAAAGAGGTCTAGATCTTTAAGGAAGAAAATCTACAGGGTCCACATAAAGTGTGTCTTGAAGGAGAGAGATATGCTATGAAAAGAGGCGTCTAGAAGAAGAAATGAGAGTGAAAAGGGTAAAAATGTAAGGATGAGAGGACTATGGAAGAAAGACTTGGAGTCCAGATCAGAGAAAGGCTGAGAGAGATTTCAGCCTGACAGTTCCACCAAGTAAGTAGTTCTTGTCATGGTCATTGGCGACTGTATTTCATCAAATCAAATGACCACTTTTCATTCCTTCATTTCCCTTACCACTGTGAAGCATTTAATACCCTCAATAAACTGCCCTGCTTCAAAAGTGATCTCCTTTTGGCCTCTGTGATTCAATACTCTTCTGGATATCTTTATATCTCTCTAGTCTTTCATTAGATCCCCCTCTGGCAGATCCTAAAATATGAGTGTTTCTCAGAAGTAGAAAGAAAAATAGTAGTTACCAGAACCTGGGAAGGGTGTACATTGGGGGCAATGATGAAGTGGTACAGGAGTGCAGTCAAATAAGAGGAATAACTTCTAATGTCCTATAGTAGAGTAGTTATGGAAGACTACAATTAACTGAATATTTCAAAATAGAGGATAGAGGGGATGTTGAATGTTCCCAAAACAAAGAAAGGACATATAGCTGAGGTGAATGATACGCTACTTACTTTGATCCAGTCATTTCTCGTTGTATATACATATTCTTGGGTTGCTATACTCCACTCTCCACACAGCAGCTATGCACTTGTTGGCCCCCACCCTACTCTCTCTCTCTCTCTCTCTCTCTCTCTCTCTCTCTAAGTATTTTGTATTGCTCTTTTCCTTGTCATTACACTGCCTTTCTGATTTCGATGTTTCTTATTTGTGTTCTCAAAATATGTTATCTTTGTTTGCCCTCCCGCTAGTCCTCGTGGGTTGTAGTTCCTGTTTCTTCTTCCCCACTGCGCTGTGCGAATGCTTAGGGGGTTTGGCTTTCACTTGTCATTCTCATCATTATCCTTGAGTCAAAATATAATGATTAACATATAGTAGGTGCTCCATAGAGATGATATAGTTGGACTGAGAAGAGAGTATAGTAAGAAAAGACACAGTCAAACTCCCTGGAGAGAGAGAGAGAGAACTGGAAGGAGTGAAAGGTAAGAGGATTCTGTAAGGAAAAGCTAGGTGAGGAAGAGGAGTTCTTGGAGGGGAGGCAAGAGAAAGGTTCACAAAGACATCTGTGAAGAAAGAGAGAATAACAATTTGACAGGAAGTACATACAAAGGTTTAGAAGGAGAGGTGGCAGCAATGCATAGGATTTTTTCTGGAGGGGGAGTACAGGAAATCAAACTCAGGACCTTGTACTAGCTAAGCAGGCAATTGTGCCACTGAGTTATGTCACCAGTCCTAATGCATAGACTTTTAAGAAGGAAGATATGGAGTGGTGAAGGAATTATCAATAGGTGAAACCTATGTAAAAACTGTAGCAAGATTTTGCAATTTAAAGGAATGTCTACAAATTCATGCTTAGTCTTTGAATAGTTGGTGTTAAGCTTCCTTTTGTAAATTAAAAAATAGTATTATTTTAAGGTGCTTAATTACAAAAATAAAATTTTAGCAACCATATGCCAGTTTCCTCTCATTTTTCAAAACTTTGAAGTTGTACTGGTCCATGAAATGTCAAAGAATCAAGAGTTCTAGCAGGCAAACATTCTATGTCAATGGGTTTCAAAATTTTTGGTAGCAGAACTACTTTACACTATTTTAAATTATTTACAAGATAACACCCAAATCTTTCAGTTGTGAATAGATAAACAAGCTATGCTATATCTGTACAATGGAATACTACTGAGCAACAAAAAGTACGACACTAGTGATACCCACAACTACATAAATGAAGCTCAGGTACATTATGCTGGTGAAAGAAGCCAGACTCCAAAGTCTGCTCAGAGTGTGACGTTATTGATATGAGATTATGAAAATGACAAAGCCACAGGGATGGAGAATAGATTAGTAGTTGCCTGGGGCTGGAAGCGGGAAAGGAATGACTACAATGATGTGGCATAAGGGAATTATTATAGGTGTTGGAAAGCTAAGGGTTGGTACAATGACCACTAGCCATAGTAAGTCTAATGGTTGTACAAAAGTAAGTCTAATGGTTCAGAAAAAGTGAATTTCATGCATCATTCCATGTTTTGTCACACAGAATGTTAACAAGACATATTTGTAAATTTTAAAATAAAACATGTTGGTTAAAAGTATTGAGGTCTTCAAAGGGATTCCATCTTCATACCTATAGATATTTTTTACATTAGGAATTAAAATTGACACATTTAAAAACTTATTTTTCTATTAATTTAAAAACAATTATAAAATGCTTACATGATAATAAATATTTTTGAAAATGAACTCTATTTTCCAAAACAAAAAATGGCAAGAAAAGTGACTTTGTATTTCATATTTGAAAATCTCATTAATAACTGACTGGATAAGAGGCAAGTGGATTTTAATATCTGGCCTGGCATGCAAGCTATGGCAAAGCATTATTTTCAGTTGAAGTATTAGAGGAAAATCCAGCCTTACAAAGACAGAAAATTAGAAGAGGGGAGCATTTAATAACTTTTTCCTGCAGAATTCTAACATTGTCTCCCCCAATAATTCTCACTTTTATATAAATTCCCTTCCCATCAACAGTAGGTATTCATGAGTCTCATGACTATGTTAGTTAAATGGCCAAGAAAGACTATGTGGTGGCTATCTAATCACAAGATCCCTTTAAAATCAGGGTTTCAAGTGGCAGAAAAGGAAGTCAGGGAGTTTCATTTTGTGAGAAGTATTTGACACACCATCAATGGTTTTAAAATGGAGAGGACTATATGAGAAGGAATATGGGTTGTCCCTGACACAGAAAGTAGTATTTGGTGGAGAGCCAGCAGGGATCTCAGATCCACTCCCAGAAGGAACTGGATTCTGCTAACAACCTGAGTAGGCTGGGAAGAATTATTATTTTTTTTCTTTAGAGCCTCCACATAAGAGTGCAGCCAACTGACAACTTGTGAGACCCTAAGCAAAGAACAGAGGTGCACCCAGTGGACTTTCGGCCTACTTAACTGTGAGATAATGAGTATTGTATTACACTGTTAAGTCTGTGGTAATTTGTTATGGCAGCAATAGAAAACTAATAAATTATATCAGATTCTTCTTGATAACTATACCTAAGCTCCACAATGGTAGTTTCTTAATGTTTATTTGCAATGTTGAAACCTAAACCATATCAATGAACCCTTTGTACTCTGTTACATTAAAATCTATTGGTTTATCTTGCACTTTGAATGGATCTGTTACCAGCACACGATTTTGTAACATTATGCATTAGTCATTGGGAATATATCCGTCATATATAGCTCAGCGGCAAAGCATCAGCTTGGCAAGCATGAGATCCTAAGCTCAATTCTCTATATGAAAAAAACACATAGAATGAAGAATGACATGACTAACATGAATACTGCCTGATCTGTGAGAGTCATCTACACTTTTACTTATCATTGCTTTTGTTACGTTAAATGCAAACCAATACAGCAGAAAGAAAATAATGTCAGTGTTACTATAAAAATAAAACATCCTCTTTAATGTTGGGTCCCATAGGTTCTTTGAACCACATGTTTTAGGGCTGCTGGCCTAGGCTAAGACCAGAAGAGGTAGGAAGAGGCTGGGGGTAGGGCTAATAGAGTTGAAATTTTAATCTTGTTTAGAAGTGACAATAGAAAAGCTGAGAGTGGTGACACATGCCTGTAATCCTAGTATTCTAGCAGGCTGAGGCAGGATAATCCTAAATTTGAGCCCAGCCTGGGCTACTTAGTAATTTAGTGAGACTATATCTCAGAATAAATTTTTTTTTAAAAAAAAAGCCTGGAGATGTAGCTCAGTGCCAAGGCTCTGGGTTCAATCCCTAGCTCTACAAAGTGATGATGATGATGATGATGATGATGATGAAGATGATGATGATGATAAAAGGCAGTAGAGGAAGCAGCCGGAAATAAAGAGAAGAAAATAATTTCTAGGTTATTCCCCCAAGAACCACAAAACACAATTAATCCACAGTCACTTCCCAGACTACCTCAATAGAAAGGTTCCTTTTACATCTGAAAATGGGTTGGAAAGAAGGCTAGCACCCTTTCATGGGACAGGTGTTCAGATGATAGGCCTTTGGTAGGAGGCAAATGTCAGCATGACTTGGAGGCTCTTTGGAGTAAGTGTGGGGTCCAGAAGGACCTGCAGGGAGAGGTAGAAAGTGCTCTAGACTTGTGCAGAGGAGGAGATTCATGACAGTCCTGTGTAGGCACAGTGTAGTAACAAGCCTGTCAGGGAGAGGAAAGCTGGGTGGAGTTGGCGGTAAGGCAGAAAGTACAGGGAACGCTTGTGAATGCCTGGCTTTTCCCCTTCTGTCACGGGTTGTTAGGGCAGGGACAAGAGCAGGTGGCAGCCACTTAGGAGCTGTGCTTGCAGAAAAAACCTTGGAAGTATGTGGGGCAAAAGGAACTAACACTAATGTACCTACAGCATTTTATTTCATCCTCACTTCAGCTCTCTGACATGGATATTATTATTTTTATCCTTAGGAATTTGAAGCTCGGAGATAAGGCTTAATCTGAACAAGGTAATAATAACATGGATGGTAAACTACCATGGAAGGATTCCAACCCAGGGCTACTTCCAAAGCCTGTACTCTGAAGAACCACACTATAGTCAGTGATGGAGGGGAAAGGGAATAATTATAACAATGATCACAGCCAACGTATACTGAGTGCTGGATACTTGTTGGGCTTTAAGCAAAATCTACATCTTAGTTCATTTAGCCTCCAATAAAGCTCTGTGAGGTAGAGATCATCACTGTCTTACACACCCAAGTCTAACTCTAGAGCCCCAGCCTTTCTACTTTAAGGTCTACTTCAGAAATTTAAGCATTAGATAGGAAGGGCCAATGCAGGGCCAATGCAGTCTCCATAGCTATCTGATCTTCAATAGATCTCTTAATCTCTTTGTGTCTCAGTTTCCTGCTCATCTTTTAAAGGATCGGTAATATCTCACAGGATTTTTGTAAGGAGTAAGTAGAATGAGACAATAAAATGCTTAACATTGTATCTGAAATGTAGTAAGCACACAATAATGGTTAGCTATTTTTATTCTATTTATTTATTTGTTTATTTGAAGCACTAGGCATTGGACCTGGGGCCATTTTCCTGAGCTACACCCTCCATCTTTTATTTTTTTATTTTGAATTAGTTGCTCAATAAGTTGCTAAATTGTGCAGGCTAGGCTCCAATTTGTGATCCTCTTGAGTCAACCTCCCAGACTGCTGGGATTACAGCTATGCCCCATTACACTTGGCTTCATTTTCATTTGTTGTTGTTACTATTATTTTGTCAGGATCTATTTGCTCCCCCAACCACCTGCCACTAGTTACCAGGATCTGTTGTTTTGGGCCAGGATTTCCAGCACACTAAGACTAAAACAGCAAGAAAAGGTGCTGCTGCTGAGAATTCAGCTTCAGTGCATCTTCCCAAAGCCTGATGCAAACTGAGAAAGGAGGCATCTCAGAGAAGAGTTGCTGCGATAGCTATTCAGAGGAGCCAGGCCCAGACCTGGACCCACTAAACCCAGAGGAAAGGACCTTGGCTGGAAATGACCTTTCCAAGTCTCCTGCCCCCTGCCCTCCTCCTTCCTCAAAGTTTTGTTTTTCTATGCCTGGGTTGTCTAAATGAGGAGCAAATGGGAGTTTCAAGAGGCTCTGACAAGATAGCCTGTACCACATGGGCCACAACCCTGACTCAAATGTGACAAGAGGCAGAGGGTGCAGGAGAAGAGTTTCTCTAGCACCAAACTGTTCTCCAGAGGAGGCTCCGTATCCCAGGAACCTGAGGGGCTGGGTCCAAGGTGTGGCACATTTGGGACATTTGGACTGGAGGACACTATTTGCTATTTTTGCTTTGGGGACATGATTGGCATGGAGTAGGGAAGTGAAGACCTTCTCCTTCCCTCCTCTGTCTGAGCAGGCTGTGCTTCATTCCTGGTCACCAGCTGGCATCCTTGATGGGTATTTGGGCTTCCTGCTGCCAATCCAGCGCCCTAGCTCAAGAGGCAGAGGTTGGGGGTGGAGGAAGATCTCCTTTCTGGAAATGAAAGGAGAAACTCCTGCTGGCAACTTCATGCCAGTCATTGAGATCCTCCTTCATCAGTGCTGTGGCTTAAACGCTCCTCCACTTTCCTCCTTCGCTTCCAGTGGCAGCAGTGTGGTGCAGAGATTAAGAACACAGAGACTAGCTGAGTTTGAATCCCAGTTTTAGCACTTTTAACTCTGTGATCTTGGACTGATTCCTTTTACTCCCATCTGCAGAGTGAAGCTTTTAGTTGTGTCTTTCTTAAGCTTGTTTATGAGATTTAAATTAATTCATTCGAAGCACTTAGAACAAAGCCTGGTATATAAATGTTTAACAAATGTTCTCTGCTCCTATTATCTGCCTCTGTGCCAGTTCTCCCTGCCAAGATTACATCTTCCCTTTCTGCTTCCTTGAATGCAGCTCAGCTCAGTCTCTTCCTTGTCTGTATGTCTTCCTGGCATGATCCATTCTGCTGATATCTCACACTCAGAAACATCATGAGAGCAAAGGGCTGTGACTTCAATGGCACTACTAAATGAATCACAGTATGGCATGAACTAAATTGATTTAGTGTTATCAATTTTTCATTTCTTTATGGCACTGGTGATTGAACTCAGGGCCTTCGCACTGAAGTATATCTGCAACCCTTGTTTTTTTATTATTTTATTTTATTTTGTATTTTGAGAAACAGTCGTACTAAGTTGTTCAATGGGGGATTGAACTTGTGATCCTTCTGCCTCAGTCTCATCAGTACTGGGATTACAGGTACGCACCACCATGCCTGATTTGTCAATTTTTTTGGTCAAATTTTTATTGTGACCTTCAGTAAAAAATGTATTTTATACCATGGCCAAGTTCATGTATTTACATATCTTTAAATACAGACATATTCATATGGATAAAACAAAAGTTTCACAGAACAATATTTATGCTTACATTTACTATTCATGGTATTAAGTGCTATTTGTAACCCACTAAATCAGTTTTAAGCCCTGCCATTTTTTGTAATCTAAAATTTGAATATCCCTGCTTCAAGAATAACCCTGAGGCTCCCCTCCTCTCTGATAAACTCTATTTGGGTGGAATTAAGAGTTCAGAACTTTAAAACTCTGAAACTGCTAAAGACAAATAGCCTGCTTACAGAATGAAGACAGAGACAAGGGGGCTGCAGTGGGCACAGTGTCTGTGTGTGTAGAGAGGGGTTTGCAGGGGAGACAGAAGTTTAGGGAGGCTGAAGCCTAAAGAGACAGGGTAGGCTCAGGTGGCAAAGGGCTGCCACACAGAAAAGTTTGGATTTTTTTGTGGAAATCACTAGATGATTTTAAGCAGAGGAAGATTATACAGTACTCAGTTCTGTGCCTTAGAAAGATCACTGGGGCACTGTGAAGAGAATGGATAGATATTGCCAGGTGAGAGACAATCAAGACGCTGACTTGGGCATCCAGATGAGAAAGGACAGAGGAGACCATCATCAAAGAAACAATGGGGAGATTGGCTAGCATGGAGGAGACAGATGTAAGGAGTGGTGAGGACTAAAATAGGTAGGGCTCAGAGACAGAGGTTTTAGCTTGAGTGACTAAGTTAATATGGTGCCAGTTATTGAAGTAAAAAGAGAGAAAATTTGTTGGGGAGAAAAATTGCCTGGCTTTTAAATGACTTTGAAACACCTATCAGGAAAAATTGCTGGCTAGAAATATCTTATTCTTTTATTCATTTAATAAATATTTGTGAAATTGACATAGAGTGACTAACATTTTATTTTGCTAAGTGAAAACATTAAAGAAGTAAACTATCATTAACCATCACGGTCTTACCACCAAAAATTGGGAAGAACATAGTCTCAGAATGCTGGACAGATTTTTTATATGTAATTGCATGAATTTGCGTTGCTGAAACACTCTTCTAGCTAATTTTTCCTCGTTTTACTGTGACCCATTGCAGACATCACTCTGTGTTGACCTGATTTGTAGTCTGGCATTTGAGAAATAGGCAGAGAAAGAGAGGTCTGCAAAAGAAACTATGAGGTTTAATTCCTAGCATACACACTCTCTCTGTCTCCCTCTCTCCCTCTCTTCCTCTCTCCCTCTCTCCCTCTCTTCCTCTCTCCCTCTTCCTCACCTCTCAAGTTCCCAGAGATAGGAAGGAAAGCAGGAGAGAGTGAATATAGAAGCCAGAAGAGGAAGAAAAGTTTTCAAAAGTGAGCTCTTGGCCAACAGTGTGTATTCTCACCCAGAGTTCAAAGAGGTCATCGAATTTGGCAGTTAGAATATCATTGATGACATTTGGCATTGCCCTTGTGCTGGGATGATAGGATTAGGGCCAAATCGCATTTGGCTGAAGTGTGAATGGGAAGCTAGGGAAAGTATAGAAACTTGAGGTGAGGGGAAGAAGTGAGAGAGAGAAGGAGGAAGTGAGAGAGTGAAAAAGGATGGAAGAAGGGGAGAGAGAGAGAGAGAGAGAGGGAGAGAGAGAGAAGCAAAAGAATGTGTGTAGAGAGGGACAGTGTTGCATTTTGGTTGAACAGAGACAGACATGTTGTGCTTAAAAGGAAACAAGTTGGTAGGGGAAAGCTGAACGTTCCTGAAGAGATGAACTTAACATCTGAAGGAGGGTGGATGAGGCCAACGCTCAGGCAAAGGGATTAGTGTTTAACGAAAGGGGCACCTTGTCCCCTGAGCAGGGAGGGTTAGAGAAGGAAGTTGGAAAGGCTGGCCAATATTTTTGGGGGTGGAGCAAGACCCTGAGGTAATTCATGCTTGAAGGCCTGTGTTTTCTCAGGGAAATAGACGAGAAGCTTTTCTGAGCAGGGAGGAGTTGGAGCAGGAACATGGTAAGGAGCTGAAGGGATTTTGGAACGTGGTCTAGAGCAATATAGAAGCTGGATCTAGGGCTCTGACAAGGGAACACACTCCGGGTTAACTGGGGGCCCTGGCTTGGCAGAGGCTGGTTGAGTTTTTCTTTTCCCAGCAGCTTTGATCTCTCTACACAACAAACACCCAGAAGCAGGGGCCATAGCACCTTTTACTTCCCAGCCCACTGCTTGCTTGCTAAGCATTGTCCAGTGAAGAGTTTGGCCCAGAGAAGGGACCCAGGCCTCTCGGAAAGGTCTAGCAAAGAAATCATTGACAAAACTTGCAAGCACCATAGAACTGTTAGGGAGAGATACAAGGGAAAATTTTGAATGTCCTGATAGGAAATTCTCCATTTTGGTTGTCTCATACACCTTCTGTTACCCTGCTCCCCACCTTACTCTTGTTCTATGTAAAATGTAAAACAGAAGACCCAGGATCCTGATTTTTATCCAGCAACAGGACCGGGAGAGACCAACAAGAGGGGTCAATGCCTTAACCTCCCACACAGTGAACAAGGCTAGGCACTTTTTAGGTGGCAGCAACATAGAGCAGTTAGGGAGGGAGAGCAAAGAGCCAGGGAAATGAACAAAAGCTCCTTGAGTTCGGTGAGAGGACTCAGGGAGCTGCGTGTAAGGCAATCCCTGATCCTTGAGTTCCAATACCCAGGAGAATAAAGGGAGTGGCTTGAAAGAAGTTCAAACTGGGAGGTGGTATGGCGAAATCTAGTTGAGCATTAGCCCAAAGCTCAAGAAAAATGTCTGAGTCTTCCCCTTTTCCTTCCCTCTTGCCTATTGTCAGAGGTCACCTAGAGGTCAAAAAGATTACAGGGCTTCCTTCTGCTTCTCCTACTGGCTTTGCAGCCAGTGTGCTCAACCTCACTCCTTCTCTCAGACTCACTCTTCATTTGAGACAGTGACCAGACTACAAGCCAGTTCCCAACTCCTGGAGATCAATCCAGCAAAAACGCTCAGAGACATCTAGAAATTCAGGCTCCTGCCAGAATGTCTTCACGATCCAGGATCCAGTGTGCATGAAGAAAATTCAGGAACAGAGATTCACCCCACAGCCCACAGCTGTGCATGCTACTGGGCTCAATTCATCTCATCTAACAAACGTCTGCTTACTTAAGGCTGGTACAGTGCCAACCCCTCCGTTGGTTAGATGTGACCAAATTGTTACAAAGTTTTCCTTTGACTGAGCCAAAATGTGTCTCCCTGAAGCTTCTCCCTTGGGCCTTAGCAAAATAAGTATATCCCACTGCATTGTAGTCCTCAGAGATTTGAAAAGTTATTTCCCCAAGAGTTTTCTCTCCACCCTCGATAAGCATTTCTTTCTCTGTCTTTTTAATTTGTTTTTACCTTTTTTATTACCCAAATAGTATCAGTTCAATTGTGGAACATTTGTGTAAATTCAGAAAAGTGTAAAGAAAGAAGTAAAAAACCCACCCTACTCTTCCCCTCAGAATCAACAATTTTGACATTTTTCTAGCCAGTGTTTTCCCTTGCGTGCTATACATTATGCACTGTTTTCTTGCCAAAATGCAATCATCCTCTAAGTGATATTTTATAAGCTTGGGTTTTTCTCTCTTAAATATATTAATTTTCCTTCAATTTTCTACAAGACTATTTTTTTTTTAATTGGGAATCAAACTCAGGACTTCACCCCTGCTGGGTGAATGCTGTACCACTGAGCTATATCCCTGCCCCATGAGACTAATTTTAATATGAAATGGTTTAACTGATCAAGGATTTATTTAACCAGTTGCTACAAGTGAGACATTTAGATTGTAATTTTTCTTTGCTACAAATAACACAGTGGGACTGGGATTTGAAGTAAGGTGAAGGCAGGGAGTAGGTAAACGGGTAAAAGAGGAGTCCTTGAATAAAATTAGTCACACTTTTAGCATCTAATTTTTTTTTTCATTTTCTGTATTGATACTTATATTTCCTAGAACACGAGTGTGAATGCATGCTTAGTATTTGGTTGCAAGGATTTACCTTAGTCAGTGTGACTGGTTTCCTATTATTGGATGTGGAGGTCACTTCTAATTTTTGATACTCGTAAACCAGGCTGTGGGAATATTCAAACAGCTAAATCTGTGTGGTGCTGGACACTGAGGTCAGGAGCAGGAATATTTGCAAGACCTCTAAAGCATAAGTTGCCAATAAGTTGAAACTGGAAGCTTTTTGGCAAAGAACAAGAAGGCTGGCCAAGGACTGTACCCAAGCCTCTGGGTTTGTCTGGGGTCAGCATCCATATCCATCTTTGGTCACAGAGGGTTCAAACTGGTAGGGACCTTGGGGACCGCTGGGCCAGTTCCTTTATCTCACGTGTGAGAGAACTGAGGTGTGGCTGCTCCTTCTGTATTTTAGAACTCTGTCTCCCCCTAGCTCCCTGACTCCTGAACTGGAAATAGCTTTCTGAGATTTGCATTCTGCCTCAAAGGCTCTGCAAATTCCTCCCTACTCTCCTGCACTCTGCCACTGAGGCTGGAGATTCTGGCCCTTTTGCAAATTAATTGAGCAGTAATGGTGTGGAGGAGTGTTGAAAGGAGTCTTGAAGTTCACCCCCTGGGTAACTGGGACTGTCCACCCAGGACCCCCTTTTTACCTAACCTAGATATTATGCAATGCAGTCAACCTACTTCAAGGCCCCTGGCAAACCCATTTTGCATATGAACTGAAATAGTAGGTGAGTTCCTCATTCCCCTTAAAAGGGTCAGCTGCCTTTTCCCATGGGGAAGCAGTTTGACAAAAGCATCTCTACCCATCCTTCTATCCCTAACAACTCTTTGTGGTTTGAGGTATTAATGAGTTCCCCTCCTTTTCCACTTGGGCCTGGCTACTGCCTGGGGAATTCACACAGATGGTGTACAATTTGCCTTTTCTGTGTTTTCCTTTCTGAATTGGAGCTAAAGCAAATCCCTTATCTTCTACTGACACCCTGTTTATTCAACTGGGAGAGATTTCACACCCAAGCACCCAGATTTTCATCTCTGAATCCCTTCCCTAAATGTTCAATGCCCAAGTTGCCCACCTCAGCACTCCCTGAATAACATGAGTTCAGGCAGGGCTAATAAAAGGGTCTCTGGGGGAAAGACCGAGAGAATCTTGAAGGTTCTGAGCAGTAGAGAACCTTCAGTTGTCCTGCCCTCCATGAAGAAAGAATGGACCCCATCGCTCCTGCTGTTGCTGCCTCTGACCCCACCCTGGCTCCAGCCCTAGCTCTGGCCCTACCACTAGGCCCTCAGGTCCTTCCTTGCCCTGTTATACCCAGCACCTCTTGCCCCTTCTGGACAAGAATTTCCAGGGATCATAAGGTAAGTGAAACTTTAACAGCTTGAACTAAGACTTAGGGGATTCCCAAAGTTCTCTGCTCTCTATGAAGGGAGAAGCCCTTCTGTCTCTCTGACTGGAATGTTTCATCTGGCTTTTACCTCCCTAATCCCTCTGCAGGAGGGGACTAGGGGACAGTGGGCATTGTCAAAGCCAAAAGCGAAATAGCCAGGCACCCTCAGGTTGTGGAGTTTGCGGGCACAGATGAGACTGCTATGAAAACTAGGCTTAACATGACCAAAACTATTGGACCTCAACTGTGGCAGTGGGATCTGGGGAAAAGGAACCAAAGTCTATAGAGGATTTTGACTGGCATTTTTTTCCTGAACATGCCACAAAATTACCATTTGCTTTTTTCCTACCTCTGAAGTCCAGTGGAGAAGCAGTGAACCCAGGAATATGTTTGGCGTCTTTTCTCAGCCCAGGAAGATGTACTATTCTGAGTTCTGCTTCTTGGAGCAGGAGACAGGAAGCAAGATGTTTTCTATTCAGTCTTCATTGATTCTTCCACACATTTTACATTTAACAAACATTTACTCAAGTGCCTGCCATGACCAGGCATTGTACTAGTCATTGAAGACTCAGACATGACCAAACATATTTTTTAAGAAGCTCAAACAGATAATCATAAAACAATGAGATAAGAGCAATGTAACACTGATAAAGCAAGGAAGAGGGGCAGCTCCCTTGGCCTGAGCCCAAGGACCTTAGCAATAGCATACTGGAGCAGATGACACAGGGGCCAAGCTTTGGGAGGACTCTTTTATTATCTCAGGGAGCCATATTTCAATGTCTTCCTCTTATCAATTGCTTTCTCATCTTTGTTGTAGAAGAGGTCGTCTTTGGAGGCCATGGATGTTCCCCACAAATGACCCCCAAGGCAAGTGAGGACTGGGTGAGTTGGAGTTCCTGTGACATTTTTTACAGGCACACATAGCCACATGCATTCACACTGGTGGTGGTCCCTTTCCAGAGAGCTACTGACTTCAATTTAAAATTGCAGATAAGGGAAAGCATTCTAACAGCTTTGTTAGCATTTGATTGCCATGGCAGCTCTGGAATGAGGGAAGACTCGAGGTTCCTGTGGTAAATGAAAAGATGAGGAACTGAGGCTCAGAGTGGGGAAGGCATTGGGACAGGCCCTACAGTCAGTAGGTGGCAGAGCTAGTGCTCCAGTCTGTTTCCTGGGGCCTCACTCAAGTGTTTTCTCACCTCACCTCCTTCACTCTTTACTGCACCAGTAGAACGCTATCTCCTGAACAGCCTCCAAACAGATGTTGGAACAAGGGACAAGAGAACAAACAACCCCCAGGACTCTGCCTACATTTTATTCAGCCAGAATCCAGACAGACCCTCCTGCCCTGAGGGCAGGAAGTGGGCAGGTGGTTGGACTCTAGAGATGTCTAAAGTCTCTTCTAGGACATCCTATCTGTAGGTTTCTGACCTCTGATTTAGAGGAGGCAGTCATCTGGCCTAAAGTTTCAACCGCATGCTGGCTTTTGCTTTGGACAGGTTGCTGCTCAGGCCACAAATGCTGACTCTGAATTTCATCACCCTGTCTGGTAGGCTTCTTACACTAGGCTCAGAACTTCACACAGACCCATTTGCGCTTTCCCGGCAGGCACTTATGCCGCTGAGCTAAATCCCTGGCCCCAATTTGCTCTTTTTAAAAACATTTTTGGTACCGGAGATTGAACACAAGGCTTTCATTTACACTGAGCTATATCATCAGCCTTCATTAGCTTTTTAGATAGAGGAAGAAGGCACTGCTATGATCACTGTCTCATAGGTTAGCAAATTGAGGCCCAGAGAAATTAAGGGACTTATTTAGTCCAGGTTGTTTTCCCTAGTTATTGTCCATGACTTCTAAGGAGGATCCTCTGTGAGCATCGTGGAAAAAATCTTTAGTAGAAAGATATAGAGAGCACAGTGCTAGAAAATTGTTGACTAGAAGCAGCCTGGGATTGGGATGGGGTCAGTGCTAATCAGTGCTGGCATAGGGCTCTCTACAGCTTGGCCCACCAGGGATTACCTTCCTGCTTAGCGTTATCTTGTAATAATTCAAAAGGCTCTGCTACAAATCTCTTCTTTTTTCCTTCTGACCCCATTTCTATAGCTAAGAGAAGGGATGTATGGATTGGCTTCACTCTTGGCAATACTGGTCCTTTTGTACATAACAGTTATGGGCCAATTTTTATTCTGTTGACAGGCTCTTCTAGCATAAATTCTGTTACGTTGACTATCTGTACAGTGCTGTGGATATTTTATTGCAAAACTTCCCCGTCTAGGCCACGATCAACCTCTATGAGGACTCCAATAGGGAAGAGGAAAAGGTGAAGTAGAAGATAATGAGGAGAAAGAGGAGGCCAATGAAGAGTTCAGAAGGGCATGTGAAAGAACCTGTACCACGCAGGGTCATAGCTCATCCACTTTCCCCCACCCCTGACCTGTCCATACTGAAGTAACCACAGTCTCACTGGACAGTTTCCAAGGGCATTGATTTTCCAAGAGTTTCCAGGTGCAGCTTTCTGAACTGAAAACTAGTTGTTGAGCTGCCCAGCTCATGTGGTCTACCTGAATGACCTGTAAGGCCAGATCTCCAGCATCTGATTGTCTGGGCTGCTCTTGTGTCAACAGTAGAAGGGTTTTAAGAGCACTAGGGGAAGGAAGATGGCATTGTGAGGCACCCAAGAAGCAGAGTAGAATGGGGTATAACCATGTAGAGGATAGCAGTCACACCTCAGGATCCTCTGAGGTCACCCCCACTTTGCACTCCCCCCAATCCATCCCCACTGCCAGCCTTGGAAAGTGGACACATAGTTTGGTCTCCATGTGGAAAACCCTACTTCTGGCATCACCTCCAGGAATGGCTATATGAAATTAAAGCAAGGTTGTGTTGCCTTTCTTATGGGTCTTGAAGGAAAGGAAGGGGGCATCTATCCAGGGAATCAGCTTGTTCTGCCCTTCTCTTTCATTTGGCTTGTTACTCACTGAAGTCTATGTGTCAGCATAAGATGAATCAAGTGAAAAATAAACTGGATAATGTTTGCCTTTTTCTTATAATTGTGGTGATTTCATAACTGAACTCTGTCCTTGTTGTGAAGCCATGAGCAAAGAGGGAGAGACTAGTTCAAGACCAATTCATTGTTCTACCTACCGAAAAATAAATCTACAGATTTTTCTCCATCCAGGATGAAGAGTTAGGGAACAAGCATGGGGCCAGGCTCTGTCAACTATATCAGACTTGATTAAGCATGAAGAATAGCTTAGATAGGGAAAAAGGACCCCAAAGGGCCTCTTGAAGTTGAGAGTAGTAGGGTTTGGGGATTGATAGGAAGGTGAGTGGTACAGTTTTGTTTGAGGCTTAGAACTGGCTGTGTACATATTAGGCAAGGTTGGAGTAGCTACTGAATCTTGTTCATTCCTCCTCAGTGCCCTTCATATCCACCACAGCTCAGGCCTTCACATTTATCGCTGCCCCAATTACTCTTCAACGAATTTTCTTGACTGCAGCATGTCTTTTTGTGATTTGTGTTTTACATTGGCTACCAGATTAGATCAGGTCATGCCTTGGCCTTGTCACTGGCTAGCTTTATGGTTGTTTGTTTGGTTCGCTTTTTTAAAATTTATTTTTATCACAGAAGCCCTTGAGAATCCACAGCTTCTCTACCAGAAAAAGCCATGTACACACACACAGACACACACAGTGCTGTATATTCACAAGTCAGTCCTTACTGTAATATTGTCAGCCTTCCAGTCATCTGGTTTTTGTCTTTCTCCTCAGAATCATTCTTTAGCATTTGAAATTTACATTGCCTGTCCTTGAATAAGGTTTGTTTTCTAATATTTCTGTGACTTTAAGCCTTTGTCTGGAATGCCTTTCCATGTTGGCATACCTCATAAACTCCAATTCACCCCAAAAACTAGTTCATATCCTGTGGGAAGATGCTCTATGCTCCTAAGTACAAGCTGGTTACCCTCATACATTCAAAGCTCCCTCTACCATGGCATCTGCCTCATTTCCTATGCAGAAAAATGGGGCTGTGTTTGATATCCCTATATGACTTCAAAGCACTGTATATTCATTGCCAGGCATAAAGCAGGTGCTCAGGAAATATTGAAGGAAAAACATCCTTGGTTGTAAAAGCAGTTGGCAAAATCAATACTGTTCCCTCACTTGCCCACTTCCCCATGTCTTAACTTACTTACAAAGGGGTCAGGGTAATGCCAAATTATTGAAGAACAAATGATGGCTTTTTCCTATACTTCCTCTCTCAATTTGAGACAAACTGAGTTCTGAGCCCTATCTGGGATTTCCCAAATCAGACACAGCTTAGAGCAGCCCATCAAGCTCACCCACTGGTGCCATCTGTTGGTCGAAATTTAACCTCGTTCCTTGATTAAGACCACCAAGCCACTGATCTGTGACCACTTGTAATTCCTTTAGTCCATTCTGTTTCTGCTTGTAAGTGAAGTGCTACTATGTGTTAGCTGTGTGACCTTGGGCAAATTACTTATCCACTGAACTCATCTCCTCAGCCCGGGCACATAGTAAAATCATTCAATAAATGATTGTAGTCACAAAAATAGTAATTGTGGTAGCTATTTCAGATTTTATAAATGAAATAAGCTTATAGGCTGGAGTCAGTAATGACTAATTTATTCAACTAATGACTGACCTGTTAGCAATCTCTACCTGATTTCTCTGGATGGTTTACCAGTCAAAGCTTTTTTTTGCAATATCTATCTCCATTGAAAAAAAATTTAAAAATACCATCAACAGAGGCTTAGTATGTCTTCTTGTACCACTAGACATTCAAACAGTAGCCCAAAATGACAGAACTAGAATTTCTCCCCTGTCCTCCTCTCCCCTGTAAAGAAACTCCCTCCACACTGTTTTGTGTGATACCTTCAGAAATTCCTAGACTTTGAGAAAGATAATTTTGAAACCACTGTCCCAAAGGTTAAACCAAGAATGATTTGATGGGGGATTAATTAGAATTTTAACATGTTTAGTGTTCTTTTAAAATCCTTATTTTGGGTCCTAAACTCTCAGTACTTCACAGCTCAAAAACTGTTTCAGTACTTTTATACCACAGATTATCAGGATTTAAAATTCTTGGAATCCCAATATCCTTGGTTTTAAAGTATTATATAGCATAGAATTACAAATCTTTAAATCCTCAGGGGTTTAAAGACCCTGAAAACCCTCGGAGCAGTAATTCTTAACTCAGAACGAGCTCTTCTCATCCCCCCTCCCGTGCTGCACACATGGTGTTGTTTACTGGGCAGATATTCTGTCTCATTCTTCTCCCAGTCCCCTCTCTTGAAATGGCTTCTACTCCCCCACCTCCACCCCAGTTGCTAAGTGATTGGCATCTACTGTCTGAATAACCAGAGCCCAGTGTTAATTGTTTTATTATGGACATATCTAGTCCTTGTAGCATTTTCAACCTCAGAGTACAAGCTCAGGAGAAAATCTCTAAGCAAAACACAGAGATCTTCCTCCAGATCTATCAGGCTATCCCATCCTTGTGCCCCAAAACTTCTCCACCCCAGCTCTCAATGGCTCCTGTTTTTTCCCAGAAGATAGCAATAGATTTCATCTGTTAATAGCTATGCTGCATTTGAGTTGGGCCTTGAAGGATGGCCATAGATAGAGATAGAGGAAGAAAACTTCCAGAAAGAGGCAGCCATATGAACTCCTTCACTGAATATATACTGAGTATATATTGAATATACTGAGCACCTGCTATATGCCAGGCATAACTATTACATTGATTAATAGAATGGGTGTTGGAGGCAGATGATCCTCGGCTCAAAATCCCTATCTTCAGCACGCTGGCTATTCATTGGCCTACTCCCCTCCAGTGTTAAGGTCAGCTCTTTCTGCTCTTCAAAGATCTCACTACACTCTCTGTAGTTCTTTAGTATATCATGCCTCTGTTCCACATGCTTGTTACAATAGTTGCCTATCCTATGCATCTGGACGTGGAAAGCCCCCTGCCCTGAATCAGTGGGTATTACTGACCCCTACATTTAAGCTTTTCCACACAACTATACCTGTGTATTTATTTAGTGGGTAGATCTGTGGTCTCTTATCCTCCCCAGTCTCCTGTTGTAAAACAGCAGCCAGTCCTTCTCCCTAACAGGTTGTTTTGTGGTCTGAATTTTTTTAGACATACATGAGGCCTGATATTGGTTATTGTGATTTTGATTTACTCTCAACTAGCAACTCCATGAACATGGACACACTCAGGTATAAAAAACCTAGTGAAAGTCCTGGGTTCGATCCCTAGCACTACAAAAACAAAACAAAATATCAAAGAGTAAGTGATCAGTAAGTGGTGGTTACAATACTCGTTCTTGGCTAATCCTAACCCAAGCGCTTGCTACACCCATTATCTATGACACTGTATTTACAACAATCCCAGGAAACAGGCACAATTTTTTTGATATATTACATATTGTCATCTTAGAAATAGTTGTTCAAGTTACAAAATCAAAGCATAAGAAATGGATAGACACTCAGACATTGACAGTGCAAACTTCTGTTCAATGATCCAATGAAAATTAAGTAATATGCACATCTATCTTACATACTTATACATACAGTTATATCCTTTAGACCATTTTCTTTCCCTTTCATTTTTACAATATCTGTTATACATTTTAGATCTTCTTACTCTTTCAGTTTTTATTATTTTTTACACTAGAGAGACAATGTGATATTTACTAATGTGAGTCTTGTTTATTTCACTTATGAGGATAGTTTCAAGTTGCCTCCATTTACCTATAAAGACCTCAAGATCATTCTTTTTATGGCTGAGTAATATTCCATTGTATAAAATACCATGTCTTTTTCATCCACTCTGCGGTTGATGGGCATTTTGGTTGTTTCCAAGATTTAGCTATCACAAATTGTGCTGCTATGAACATGGGTGCACTTATGTCACTGTGATGTGACATTTTCAAATTATCTGGGAAAATATGCAGAAGGGGAATAGCTGGATTGAATGGAACTTCTAATCTTAGTTTGTTGAGGAATCTCCATACTGATTTCCACAGTGGCTGCACCAGTCTACACGCCCATCGACAGTGGACAGGTGTTCCCCACCCCCACCCCCACAGCCTCGCCAACATTTGTTATCAGTTGATTTAATGGCAGCCATTCTTTTCAGGGTGAGATAATATCTCAGTGTTGTTCTAATTTGCATTTCTCCAACGACCAGTGATGGGGAGCATTTCTTCATGTATTTATTTAACAGGCACAATTATTACCCTCATTAATGAGTGAAAGGCTAAGAGTTAGCAGGTTTTTCATTTTTTATTTTTTGAAAAACAGGAAAAGAAAAATAGAGATATGAGCACAACAGGACAGGTTCACTTCAGAACAAACTTAAGAGGGAGGAATCTGGCACAAGAGACCAGACCAGAAGCTCTTGTATAGCTATTGGGCCTTTTGTAGGGTTATGGGAGAGTTGAGTGAAAGGGGTTCTGACTATCTGCCAAGAACAAATCTTGAAAGAGCACAAGTAGGCATGGTTGCCCAAGGATGAGGTTTAGGAAAGTGCAGGGAGTAGCAGGTGCTATCAGTCACAGGGCCAGTTGTGTGTTGAGTCCCCAGGCTCAGCTGTGCTGGGAGAGGGGCAGTTTAAAGGGATCTCTGGTCAGGGTGGTGGTGGTCTGATTCCTTCATTTTGTACATGGGCTTACATGTAGAGATTGCCATAAGCTTTGCTTGGTCATATTAAACCAAAAACATAGTAATCAACACCATATCCCTTAGAGGTTATATCAGTGAGGTAAGGCCACCATTTTACAACAGGGGACAGGAGAGAAAAAGGAAGCAAATATTGATAACTACAAAGTCATAAGTTGGGGTGGGTGTACAGGAGGCGCTGATATTAACTGGGTGGGAGAGAGGGCACTCCCCTTCCAAAAAGGAACAAGCAGTAGGGTGACTAGGATAAGAGAAGAGCTAGTAATTCTTATTATGGTATGGGAACACAGTAGAAATTACATGGATTAACTCTAATACAACTCTGAAGTACAAATAGAGTTAGGGAAATAGATTTTTTTTATTTTGGAGAAAACACAGAAAAGAAATAAGAGGCATACAAACAACAACTACAAGAACAACAAAAATCCAAAACAATAACAATACATGCTTTCAAAGCACAATTAACAGCCTGGAGATCTAGCTCAGAGGCATAAGTGCCTGCCTGGCAAGTACTGGGTCGTGAGTTTGATCCCTGACACAAACAGACAAACAAAAATCAACCAAGATGATAGGAATTTAACAATGGTTGCAATATTGCATATTGTCTTCAGAGGACTTGCTTAAATTATCAGACATAGACGTGTAAATTGATCTAATTATATCAGTATTAACTGTTCTTTTCCAAGAACAAATTGGTAGTATAATCATTGTATTTTTACCTATATATAAACAAATTTATATCATTTTCCTTTTCCCTACCTTTTCTCCTTTCCTCTATCCTAGTTATTTTTCCCTTTTGAGCAGTTTCTTGCCTTTTCCCAATATCTATTGTAGGTTTTGGATCTTATTTACTCCATGTTACTTACACTACGGAGACAATATGGTATTTACATATGTGAGTCTGATTTATTTCACTTGTAAATATGGACTCAAGTCTCATCTATTTACCTATAAAAGCTTTGATGCAATCCTTCTTTTAGCTGAGTAGTACTCCATTGTATAAAAGTAGCCCTTCTTTTTTATCTATTCTGCATTTGATGGGCATTTGGGTTGTTTCCAAGATTTGACTATTACAAACTGTGCTGCTATAAACATGGGTGCACATATATCAATGTGGTATGATGCTTTCAGTTCCTCTGAGAAGCAGGATAGCTGAGTCAAATGGGACCTCTAATTATAGCTTCCTGAGGAACCTGCACACTGATTTCCACAGTAGTTATACCAGCATACATTCCCATCAACAGTGGAGAAGTGTTCCTTTTCCTATACAACCCCTCTAGCATTTACTATTGGTGGATTTCTTGATCTTGGCCTTTCTTTCTGGAGAGAGATGGAATCTCAGTATTATTTTAATTTGCATTTCTCTAATGAACAATGATGCTGAACATTTTCTTGTATATTTATTTGCTATCTGTATTTCTTCATCTGAGAATCATGTATTCATCCCAAATGCCCATTTTTAGATTGGATATTTGAATTTTGGAGCTTGATTTTTTAAAAAATTCTTTATATGTTTTAGATAGAAGTCCTTTGTCTGACGGAGATGTGGCTAAGATTTTTTTCCCAATGACTGAGTTTTCTTTTCACTTTGTTAGAGATTTCTCTTGACATGCAAAAACTTTTTAATAAGATGAGATCCCAGTTGTTTATTCTGGAAATATTTTCCTTGTAATATGATTTTTCTTCATGAACTCTCTACTTACCCCTATGTCTTCAAGATTTCCATCTACTTAAGTCTTGCAGCAGATTTAGTGTTTCTGTTTTAATATTTAGATCTTTGATCCATTTTGACTTTAATTTAGTGCATGGGGATGGAGATGGGTCTACTTTTAGTTTTTGATATATGGAAAGCCAGTTTTTCCAGTACACTTATTAAAGAGGCTTTCTTCCAGTGAACTTATTTGGCCCCTTTGTTGAAGATAAGGTGGCTGTGTGTGTTTGTAGTTGTGTATCTTCTAATTCATTGATTTTAGGTCTGTTTTTTTTTTGTTGTTGTTTTTTTCACTACCTTGTTGATTTTTTATTTTACTTTTTTTTTATTTTAAAGAGGACAAAACCAAGGAAAATCAGACAGAATAAAACCAATCAAAAATAAACCAGTATAAGTGACATAGAACTTCAAAACCTTATAAAACCAACAACAGCTACCATAATGCCTTTTTTTGTCTTTAAAATAGCTGCAGATATTTTGGACATAGTAAAAATTGAACACAACAGAACAGAATAGAAACAATAAAGCCAAAACTGTGAACATAATAAAGGATTTCAAAACAAGCCAACAGTAAATCCAAAATGGCTACCACAATGTGTCTTGTTATCTTTGAAATAGCTGCTCCTGCCATCAGATTTAACACAATCAAACAAAACAAAAGAGAATAAAATCCAACCCAATGAAACAATGAAAATGATACAGCTTCCC